ATCTCCTACTTTGCACTGGTCAAGAATTCTGTACAAGTCACTACCATTTGAAACTTTCTTCCCGTTAACTGATGTAATTATATCGCCGAGTACAAGTCTTCCATAGGCATCACGTTTGGTGGATTGAAGACCCTGTAGGACAAACAGATCCATCACCGCTAATTTTAGTTGAACAAGTTTTCTGACTTCAAGTTAAATGCTTGAATCAAAGTGAAATTTCAGATATCATGGCCATACAAGCACATTGAATTTAAAAAACTTACTGCTTTGCCAGCTGGCCCATTCAAAGGAGCATCCAATATAAGGACCCCACTGACTCCTAGTTGCTCGACTGACTGATCAGGAGCGAATTTAATCCCTAAAATAGGACGGGTAACTTTCCCGAACTTCACCAATTGATCAACGATCCCACTTACCTGAACACCAAAGCAAAACAGGAAAACAAAAATAAACAATTGTGCTATGTATATTATACAAATATAGATGCTCGGTTATAAAAATTTTATTGCATTTCGCAACTTAAGTTTCAAATGTACATATTCTACTCCTCTATTCATTGCACTCTACCCTATGAACATTCATTTACAAACTCATGATAGGTCCAAGTCTCCTAAGGGGCTTAAGTGCAATTTATCCAAAGTTAGGAATGAGAAGAATTATAATTAGCAGGAAAAGGCTGAACTAACAATGACATGAAAGACAAAATGCAATTATGAATAAAATATTTTGGAGAGTTACTCACAGTGTCAACTGGAATGGAAAAACCGACACCAGACGAAGCACCTGAAGGAGAGTATATAGCTGTGTTTATCCCGATAAGGTTTCCAGAACTATCAAGAAGTGGGCCCCCACTGTTGCCAGGGTTGATTGCAGCATCGGTCTGAATGACATCCTGAATCGGACGGCCAGTTGCAGCTGAACTTATTTCCCTCCGAAGACCACTAAAAAAGGAAAAAAAATTGAAAGATAACTTAAGTCTGTAAAGTATATCATCATGGTACGAGAATACTATAATATAACAATGGTCAATTTTCCTAACTATTGATCACATTACACCTTATCCAATTACGAACCTAATGAAAGAAATGATTTTCTCTTCTAGCGTATGGAAACAATTATTTCACAGTAGTGCTCAATGAACTTCAATTATTGGTGTGTAATTAAACACCGAAAAGCAAAAAACAAATGAGGTGAGTGCGGGCATTTTTTTGTTTTTTGCCTTTTCTCCTCACTTTTATGTCAACTAGTCTAAGGTATTAAATCTACAGAGAAGATGTCACAAGTAGTGAAGCCCATACAAGAGTCATGATACACATGACATCAATTTGAATAGTTATGAAATGTATAATGTTCAATCATTAATACCTGATGACACCTGTAGTAAGTGTGTGGTCAAGTCCAAACTGCATAAATAAAACAAATTTGTTCAAAAGAGATGATTATATTGTCCAATTGAATGACACTTGTTCATTTGATTAACATAGAGACCGTACCAATAATATAATACAATCAAAGTTTCCTAAGACATGCAGTTAGAATATGACAACAGGCAGGCTTTACATGGACAAGCTTTGTCTAGTTATTGGTTAGCTGTCAACAAAATTACAAATTAATTTTGAGAAACAAATCCCACAACAAAAATGAACCAGCTGAATTCGAATTTATTTAAGCACTGAAGAGAGGACTTGGTTTAGACTCAAGCAACTGCAGACAAACATAATATCCAGACTTAGTTGTGGGATACGGTGGGTGCCTGAGAGCATCTTCATCACAGAAATGGAATAATATTTAATCAATTGAAAATAGCTAAAGAAACTAAAGCATTAATTACAGAGAATATGAAAATTATGAAATTCTTCAACATTGGTGATTGGGACGATTAGAGGGCACAAGTCTCGCATTAGTCAGCTCTTACACTAACAAAATCCCTAGCGAAATAAAAAAAAAGGGGTAATGCAAAACAACAGTTATTTGACATAAGAAAGTAAAAGGGGCCACATGTCTCTCACCGGATTTCCTATTGCATATACTTTTTGACCAACAAGCAAGTCAGCAGATATGCCAATTGGTATTGGTCTTAGCTTGTCTTTTGGCGCATCAATACTTAGAACAGCAACGTCTTTATCTTGATCAAATCCAACAACTTTTGCATCATATGTACTCTGGTCTGCGAGGGTGACCCTGGACAGCATTCCACTCATCATGAAATAACTCAAATATTTATCACAGAATCTAGTGGGTGATCAAGAACACAATTTCAGATCAAGGTATATCAAGTATGTTAACAACCTTCCCACTAGGGTGTTGCATCATGAGGATGATTGTTGCATTTTTAGGTCATGAATAGGTTAGTGGGATTAAGTTGCCTTTTGTGAGTATGAATGTCAACCATTTGTACAATCTAGCACATTGATAATACTAGTATACGGCTTTGTCACAGTGATGTCGACCACAAATTGGGAATGATTGAAAAAGATTTGGGAGAATTCTGCTCTAAGCGAACAGAGAAAATGATCTTCAATGAAGAGAAAAGTTTTTGCGGATGGATTGACAGACATCCTCTTTTTCTCAGCTCTAGGAGTGAAAAACTCACTCCAGTCATGATAGAAGATCTTCTTACAAATGAAACAATCATTACATATCCCAGTGTCTAAAAAAATGGTAACACTACAAGCATAACATGCATCTGCTGTAATATATCAATGCAAGGAAAGGAACAACATCAATATTACTTGAGATCAGATGCGCCACGAATCACATGATAGTTCGTAACAATATGGCCTTGCACATCCCAAACAAATCCAGATCCCGATCCCTGTGGTACCTCCAACACATCTAAAGTAAACGCATCTTGCCTAAAACAAAACAACCATATGACTTCTAGTTTCAATAAGAGAGATTAAAATTGGAAAATTTCCACCAACAGATGGTCACATGCTAGTGATCATTCACCAAAACCATTACCCTAACAGATGCGAAATTCAACTTAATTATTTTAATAGCAAATATTTTTCTCGAAAATTTTTCTGGTGTCACTTTTGGTTTTCAAGTCTGATAAGATTGTCAGATATAGTTAAAGAAAAATGCAAATTCAGAAAACAAGCCTACTAAGCTGCTCTGTGACTTAAAGTTTCACTGGGTTTGTACTCAGTACAACTATAACGAATCCAATTTTAAGTTTTTCACTTATAGGAAAATCATACACTATATTTTAATTCTTGCAATTACCAACTTCACTCCCTCATTTCGTTTCATTTAATCAGAACACAAATGAAGCAAAATATTGCACCTCAACTATGATAGAAAAGATGAATAAAATAAAATAAAAGATGACAAGTACCTTGAAGCTAGATTGGTAATGTAAACAACAGATGGAGTGTTCTCCTGAAAAAGACGAACAGTAGCAAGCTCATCCGACTGCAACTTCCTCGGAGTAGTAACCACAAACGCCGATGCGCAATCAACGTCTGCCACGAACAAACTCGCCGACAAAACAACAGAAGCACAGAGCACGGATAACGAGTCCAACAGTTTCTTCCATCCATTGTTGTCCGATTCGAGCTCGGTACCAAAATCACTACTAAAATATTTGTCCCGCAGAGCACAAACAATGATCGGGCCAATAACTTTGTTCCGATTAAATTGGGGCAGAGATTTCGTAAGCGTATATTTAGGGATTGGATTGAGGATTTTAGAGTGAGAGACCTTGGGAGTGGAAAAAAGCAAGGTGGATCCAGCCATTTTTGCCGTAAGTCAGAGCACAGTATAGATTTTCTCCAATTGGTCAATTTTTGTTTTAGTTTTCTGAATTATTATTATAATAATAATAATAATAATAATAATATTTGTGTTTCTTATTTTTATTCTTTTTAATTTAATTTATGTGGTCGTGTTTGATTTCTGTCTCCATGCGGGTCGGGCTCTTGTAATTGGAGTTAAATTCATTGGGCTAGTCGACGAGACTATTCTAATTGGGCTACTTTCATAAGTGCATGTTTGTTTATAAAAAATTTTGGTTTTGTTTGGAATTTTTAGTTTGGTTTAGTTAATTTTGAAAATGCGATATTGTTAGATGTTAGTGGATATATTAAAATAATATTTATAAATAAAATAATTAAAATTGATTTGATGTAAAAGTAGGAGAGAGAGATTTGGAGTGATAGTTATTAAAATAATGTGAGTGAATGAATAGTGAATTAAGGTTGATTGATACTATTTAATTATATTGATAATTTTGAAGATAGTAGGGTTGAATTAAAGTTGAGTTAAAAAAATAGTTGAATTAAAATGTTAAATTTTTTTGAGAAATTTCATAAACAAACATATAAGCGTTCTTATTAAAGACGGTTTAACAAGGCATATGATTGACGGTTTAGATGTGCCGAAGGATGCGGTAGATCAACGGTCACAGACTGCGATCCTGGCTGTCTTTATAAACCCACAAAACGACACGAGTGAATTAATAATAAGGTAACCATTTGGATAAATATTCCATTTCATCTTCTGTTGTTGTGTTCTGCTGTCACACTTCCACAGGTAATTCAAATCTCTTGATTGTTAGATCTGTTTCTTGTTGTCTAAAAAATTGTGTACGTGTGAAGAATTTTTAGTGTATTATGAAGGAATTTCAGATCCGTTTTTGTTTCTATTTAATAATAATATAATATTTATTTTAAAAAAAAAATCGATTTCAAGTAAATCAAATCTCTCAATTGTTAGATCGGTTTGCTGTTGTCTATCAATTTGTGTTCATGTGAAGAAATTTTTCTCTACTTATGAAGAATTGTTAGATCCCTTTGTGTTTTATACTAATAGAAAATTAATCCGAAAATTTTCAATTTCATCTCAGTTCTATACTTCTTTCCAAGGGTAATTCAAATCTCTCAATTGTTAGATCCGTTTGGTATTCTATTAATTTCTGTACATGTGGAGGTTTTTTCGTTAGACTCAGATTTCTATTTGATTATGGATTTACCTAATATTCTTATTTAGGNTATATAATGGCGGAAACCAGAAGAAAGCCAGTTTTCACCAAAGTTGATCAGCTTCGCCCTGGAACGAATGGGCACAATCTGGTGGTGAAGGTTGTGAGCTCAAAGATGGTGTTGCGGAAGGGAAGGCCCGATGGGCCTCAATCTCACCAGGTGCGAATAGCTGAGTGTCTCGTGGGAGATGAAACAGGGACGATTTTGTTTACAGCTAGGAATGAGCAAGGTATGGAGGTCATTTGTATATTTATTTCTACGTTAACTATGTATTCTCTTCTATGAGTGTTGGATATACTAATGTTAATTTGTCTTTGTTTTTATTATTATTGTTTTTCTTGTTTTGATCGACATTTTGTTTGATGCATAGATAGGCCTCCTAGATGTTCAAGATAAGTCACTTATATTTCAATGAACATCTATACCTATATACATTGTATGATTGGTAAAGACATGATATTTAATAGGACAATGAAATTGTAGACACAAGATGCAAGTTTTTTTATTGATGTTTATATATTCCAAAATTAGTGCCAATGTATAGCTTATATTAAACTGGTCTACATTGTATTGTATCTTCTTATTTAATTGTAAAAATACTCGAAAGTTCATATATCATTACAGTTTTAGGTCAACTTTTGTAATTAAATTTCTAATTCTGTACTTGAACATGAGTCTCTTTATAAAGAAATTATTCATGATGAGTTTCCTAGCCAAGTGCTTAGGTGGCTTGTTGTAGTTTTAGTTTTTGATGTTTTTTACTTCTTTCTTCATGGTTATAAAAGTTGATTCGCACTTGCTAGGTGGGGTGGGGGGTTGGTGCTGGCCTAGATGGGGTTGTAAAAATTTTAATAAATTTATATATAATTATTTTCAAACACAATTTGCACGATGGCGACATGTGATCCATATAGGACTTTAATGGCATGTTGATTGCTGATTGATTGATTCATTGATTTTCAAACATAATTTGCCAATTTAAAATATGCTAATAAATATGGTCAATACAAAGATTAGCAAAATTATAATATATTTGTAACTATTATATTAATTTTAATAATTATTATATTAACTATAAGTATTAGTTGTTATGTATGAAAATAAATATTCATTTTGTTATAATTTGAAACTTGAATAAAAAACAAAAACATCCATTTAGGCATAACTATCTTTGCAGCAGATGTGACTAGCTTCCCCAAGGCCTGCTCACCTCTCTATATGCTGCTAAGTCAGCCAAATGCCTAGTAGGGCCATCTGGGAAAAATCGTGACTCCCAGGTGCCACCTAGCATTTATGTCGGCGTATAATTTTTAGAACACCGGTTGTTGTAATTATATACTTAGACATTTTTAACTAAAATGACCAAAATATGAATATAATGTGCAAAAATCAATTGAAGTCATTCTCAACCAAAAAAAAAAAAAAAAAACTGTTTATACATTTTAGATGTTTACATTGATTACAAAAATGTGAAATCTCATGTACTTTTTAGGTAATTGATTATATCACCAATCATTACGAATTGGGTGAATTTTTTGTCTCCATCACTGGTTTGATTGATACAAGGGTTTTTTGGCCAATAGGGAAAAAAGGAAGAAAGGGCAGATGGACATTATGTTTAATTAGACTTGCAAGATCAACTGCATTGATAATGTGTTTAGATCAGTGTCAGTCATGACTGTCCACTTTCCTATTCCATTTAAATGCAAGGGATTAATATTTTTTTAAATACAACGTTATTAATAGATCTATTTGACTTTTTGTTTTAACTTGAGCTTTATTTGATTTTGAATGTGCAGTGGAGATGATGAAACCCGATACTAGTGTAATTCTTCGAAATGCCAAAATCGACATGTACAAAGGATCCATGAGGCTGGCTGTGGACAAATGGGGTCGTGTAGAAGTGACTGAGCCCGCTAGCTTCACCGTCAAAGAAGATAACAATCTCTCTCTAGTTGAGTATGAATTAGTCAATGTTGTTGAGGAGTGAAAGTGGTCACATTTCCTCTTTGTTTATGTGGAGCAAAAGATTTGATGGAAAAATAAAAGGAAAAACAAAAAGATGGCCTAAAATGAAATGGTTTAGGAAGATTGCAAGTGGTAATTTCTCTTTTAGGAGCTGGTTAGTTTCACAGCATGAATTCAGGTTTAAGCAGCAGCAGCTTGAGAGCAAGAAGCTTGATTATGAGTTTGGTGGTAAAAGCATCCAGGATCATATTGTTGTGGGTATAAATAGTGCTGGGTCGAACTATTCACATTTATTGTGGTTTGTGTTGTCCTGAAGGTAAATTTTTATATTAATTTAATACACTATGCAGACAGGATACTTTTGAAGAGTGTCTTTTTTTTATGTCTTTTTTATTCAGTTTATTTTATTATTTGTATGTCTTAATGTTGTTTTTTCAAATGTGAGGTGCTGAACTAAAGACTTGATATGATTCCAAGCAGGTGG